CGGCCCGAGGCACCCCGAACACAAACATCTAGGTGAAGAGCCTTTGGGGCCTCCCCCAGCTGCCCCTTAAAGATTTTTTACAGTGTGACACCGGAAAACATATTTCAAACTTCTGACTTGTTGGAAAGCGTTCCAACTACATTCAGGAATCACTAGAGAAATAACTCTCCAACGTTTCTCCCTGTTTCTGCCGCTACATCATAATTCTCTCTAGAACCCTTTAGCCAAGCCTGTGGCACTGATCACTCCAGAGCAGTTAACGCCAGTGAGGGAACTGTAAGGACATTCGTGTTCAAGATCCCAGCCTGAGTGCCAGGGAGACACTGCAAGTGGTGGAGCATATGGCTAGCATGTGTGAGGTCCTACATTCCAACCAAGCATCACAGGGGCACTTTCAGGAGTGGGCACTGTCAGTTAATAAGTCAGTGATTATCCAAAGCTGTCTCTTGGAGGCTGAGTTTGTATTCTGACTCTGCCTCTTCCTAGCACTGTGACCTTGGGGGACGTTTCTTAACCTCTCTGAACCTCGGTTTCCTTGACTGTAAAATAGGAACATGGGGTGAGGTAAGAATTACATTAGTAAGGGGCTTTGCATGATGTTTGATCCTGATTACAAGTTTTATTATTTTTGATTCATTTATTTACTTTACTATTTTTCAACTACAAGTTTTATACTGAGAAGATGCAGAAGGCTTTAAGTAAGAAAAGGATCTTGGTTATCATCTAAATCAGAAGCATACATGATAGGAGAGTGAAGAAAATTAAAAAGTAAAGTGCTTATGGAACAGTTGTGAATAACTACTTCTAAGTAGTTTAGTTTCATTCTCAGCTTCTGCTAGAATAAATATCACACCTGGGCTGAAAATCTTTTTGTCTTTCTCTGTCAGTTTTAGAGAAAGGAGGAGCGAAAGGGCAGCGGTCCCTTTCGCTTCTCTGATCACCCAGGTTTATTTAACATCTAAAACCAAGCACGTCCATCCAAATGCTCCCTGTCATTAATGAGCTATGGAAATAAGAGCTTGAAACAAGCACTCAGTTTCCTCATCTGTGAAATGGGAATAACAGAGTTCTACCTTAGATTTTCTTTTGAGCAAAGTAAAGTATGAATATAGTATAACCTTTTAGAAGCATGCCCAGCCGTATTAACACTACATTTGATCTGAAATGTATATTCTTCTACTCTATTTGTTAAAAAGGGAAAAACGTGTGAACAAAAAGAAGAAAAAGCACAGGAGATCTGGAAATACCATACACAGGAGGGATAGTTTAAGCCCATTCTCATTCATAGGTGATTCACCTCTGCATTCTCAGTTGGTCTCCTCATCTTTAATCAAAGAGGTCAATGAGATAACATCTACGGTTCATTCCAAATTTGAAATTCTATTCAGGTAGATATCTTTGACTGTCTGCAAAGGCTAATGTTATTAGGGCTATATTGTCTATTTTATATGTCAAGAATATTTTTAAAAAGAATTATTCAGTTGAAGATAATGCTATTTGTTTTCTGAGTCAAGATGCAAACATTAGAACCGAGAACAAATGTTTAAATCTGTGGCAATCTGGAGCACAATAGAGAGCTTGATTTTTCGGGTTTCTTTTTAGGAGTAAGAGTTTTGTGCCATTCCTGCTAATGCTCAAAGTCACTGCAGATGGTGCTCAGGGAACACAAAGGTGCTGGGGATTGGTATAGGGTTGGTAGCATCCAAGGCAAAAGCATGAACGCTTGAACTATTTCTCTGACCAATAATTGAAAATGTTTAAAGGTCTTGGATTATGGGAATAAAACTAGCAAGGACATCTCCCCATTCACCTTCAATGACCTTTAGCACCTCTCGAAATAAAACATCATCATAGAGTTCTAAAGCTAATTTATCATTAGCGTAGAGAGCATGACCATAGGACACCAGTTAAGTTTGGCTCAGCAAATCTCAACTAAATGAAATGGAGCACATTGAACTGAGATTCTAAAATATGAGGACGGAAAGCAGAAATCTAAAGTGCTGATGACCACTCTGCTATGGTCCCAGAAGCTGGGTTCCCTGAGTTGCCTCCTTCACTGTCCCTGTCACTCCAGAGTGGGTATCTGCTGAGGCTTGGCTGCCTTTATAGATTTTATAAGCCAGGCCGACATTTAAAGATTCTTTCTTGTAAGGAAAAGATTTTGTGGTAACAAATGGGGTGGGGGAAGGCTCTTGCTTTGGGTCAAATATAGCTTAAATTTTCTGTTTCTTAGCTGTGTGACCTTGAGAGCTGGGCATTTAACAATCTCTCAAAGTTACATTGCACGTTTCATAGCTTTCTTACATTCAGTTGTTTTGAGGACTAAATGAGATAACAGATGCGAAAGAGTTGCCTATAATATTTAGAGCTCAGTAAACACTCAATAAAGGCATCCTTACTTGCCTTCCTAAGTGAATGACAGAACAGAATATCTATTTTCTTTTTTCTCACACTCTCTTTGAAATGTATGTCTCAGAGGCTAGGGAAGCACTAGTTCGGCATTTTATAATCATTGTTTGGGTGTCCAAACCTGGGTCTTTTAAATGAGCCCTAAAAAGTTATGCTTTTGTTCACTCCTCCCCAGATTTATTCATGTTTTTATGTGGGCACAAGACAAAGTTGCCTTTATAAGACTGTCTAGCTAGGTTAAAAATAAAATATGCAGAAATGTGTGGAACTTCAACCATAGAATATAGGAAAAAGGGATTATTCTTAGCAGAAAACAAAAGCACTGTAGTGTATGACTATGTATGTAAACTCATAGGAAAGATCTGGAAAGTCTAGACATAGATATGGTTAACAGTGACCTCTGAGGAAAGGAAGAAGGTTGGAGAGGGGTTGGAATTTGCCTCAGTACTGTGGTTTTACATATGTAGTTACGTATCTGCAGTGTAGTTAAAAACCATCACACACACACACACACACACACACACACACACACACACACTTGCTCCAAATAGTGCCATGGTTCAAACTTAAATAAAAACTTTTGAACAGAGACCTTGACGACTCTACCAGTAGACAAGAATCAAAGAATTTCTCCCTGGGGCTGTCCATGACTTGATCTAAAGCTGGATTCTGTTTATAACTTGCTGTCCTTGAGAAGGAGACCAAGACAGGGTGTTTGGGATCCCATCTCTAGCAGTTGATACACCCAGATTACAAAACCAACAACTGAGTTGCTTGCCAGGTACATTGGCAAACTTGCTCTCTGCAGGTACCCTGATAAGACATCAGTACTCTGGCTAATTCTTTGTAATAGTCAAGGTCTACAAGGTGACAATCGAAGGCAAGGCACTTGGTCAATTATGCTTTTAAGCAAAAATTAACCAGATGCTAAGGTAGTACATTAGTAAATTTCCATAGCAAGGGAAATGTGATGACTTTTTAAAAATCTATTTAAAATATTGAATGACTAAAGATACCCGAGTGATCCTTACAAATCATGCTTGTCCCACACACTCCTCCCCAGAACCAACAAATACATTGATTTAAAAGGCACAAAGCATTGAATTATAGGCTGTGACATTTGTTATTAGAAAAATATTTATTTACCATTGAAAATTAGTTTTCAAAGGAGGACCCCTCCTGGAGAAGAAATCTTCTGGCTAGGGAGAAAACATCTTGCAGCTCTGAGAAGTTGCACAGACTTGCTTTGATTTGGCATCAAGTCTCCCCTAGTGACAAGCCTGGCCTGGGGCACCTCAGGAGACCTACTAGGGTGGGTTCCTTTTGCTCCAATTTGAATGCGTAGATTTTGGCCACCAGATTGAGGGAAGATCTGGCTTTGCTGCTGTGAACTCAGAATCAGTGAAAGCCTTGTGGGAGTCTGTGACTGGCCCTCTGGCTGGCCCAGGCTTCTGAGCTTGGCTATTTGGTGCAGAGAAGGAGTTTGGTAATTCATTGCATGCTGCTGGTGGGTTTAGCGAAGTGCTGCATTTCAGACATTTCAGGAGCAACACAGAATGGAACCGAAGGAAGGGAAGGAAGAACGAATGGAGAGCCATTTTGATGGAATTGCCCTGGGGCAGTAAAGAGGATCCCTGACCCCTTCAGTTGCTTCAACTCTCCAGAACAGGGTCAGTCATTGGTAGCTTAATGATCAGTTGTTTCTTACCTCCACTAGTATATAAATTCGCAAATTTAAGCAGACCACCAGTGTGAGTATGACCATGAACTGGGATGGCAATGAACCACACACCCACAAAGCAATCCTCCCCTCCCTAATCCCCTCCCACCTCCTCTCACCCCCAACCATACACCCACAAAACAAAACAGTACCCCCCCCCCCTTTGTAGTTACAACAAACATACATTAAGACTACGGAAGAACAAGACATTTAAGAAATAAATGGACAGAGTCACTAACACCCCCCCCCCACACACACATGCACACAAAATCGTTCCAGTTTAGATTGCTCATTGCACTCCCAAAGAGGGTCCTTCCAAACAAAACTGAGGCAACTTGCAGAGGATTTAAAATGCTGGATCCTATCTTTTCTGTAAAAGGTCATTCTAGTCCTTTGCTAATTTTAGCGGAGAGAGAGAATCAGCAAGTTATAGGCAGAATGAATCTGGGAAGTCAGAAACAGCTGCTTCTGAGGCGAGAAGGTGGTAACACAGGACTCTAAAGGGACTGGATGATAGAGGAGGAAAAAGTTGCACCCTTCAAAGATAAGAGCCAGAGCTACTCACTCAATCCCTAACTACAGTTCTCCTAGGAATCCCCAGTAATCTTGCAGCTTTGAGGGAGGAATTCCCATTCCCACCTCAAGTCTCCTCAAGGCATCCCAGTCCAACGCCCTCTGGCCAAAGCAACTCTTCCCAAGGTGCCCCCACCCACAAATTAGCATCCAGGCAGGTGTAGACAGCCCCCTCTGGACCACTGTGGCCAGCAGCTGGTCCTTCTCCAGGGTGGGGCAAGAAAACCTGAAGCCTACCTCCGGAAAGCCTCCCCAAGAAGAGCAGAAAACAAAAGAAACCAACAAAACCTGTTCTTACCCGCTTCTTAAAAAATTGGAACGCTGAGCACTTCTTGACTGGAAATCCATTCATGTCTTTGTTTACCATTTTCCACGGGGGGGAGTTCACAGTTTTAGATCCAGGGTGCCACCCGCCTGGTTAGGGCATCTGGTTCGCCTGCTGGAGACAGTTAATGAAGACTGAGCGGGCTGGAGACTCCGGCGGGGCTCAGGGCTCCTTCACGCACACATTCTGCAGCACCGTCTACTGCAGCAACCTCTCTTTCCTCTCGGTTGCCACCGGCAGTGCCTTTTCTCTTTCCATTGCTCCGACACACTTGCAATCACCCGGCTAGCGGACCCCGTGGGGGGTGGGGGGTGCAGCGGAGTCGGGGGAGCGTTACCCCCCCGGCACGACCGACCTGGAGAAGGGCACCCTTGGAGGTGCGTCCCCCCACCGGCTACCTGGCGGCTGGGCGAGTCGCTCCGCTCCAGGTGATGCGCTTCTGGCGGCTGCTGGGGGAGGAAAGCTGTTTTTGATGGTGCAAGTTCCAGAGGGAGCTGTAGTTAAGCAGCAGAGAGGAGTAAGAAAGAGCAGAAGCCGGAGGGAGGGAGGGAGAGAGGGAGGGAGGGAGAGAGAGAGAGAGAGAGAGCCGCGCCAGAGAGGCAGAGAGAGAAAGCGAGGCTGGAAGACGCAGCGAGTCATGAATATCTGAGCAGCTGATGGAGTGAAGGCAGAAGGAAACACTGAAAAAGCAGTTGATTCCCCTGGGGTTTGGGGAAGCTACTTTCATAGCCCCTTCCCCCCATTCCCCCCCTCCACTCTCTTTTTGGTGTAGGACCATTGAAACCAGAGTTTCATGTGAAATGTAGATCGTTTTTATTTGATGCATCCTTGGAATTCTTCGGATACGTGTACCTTCTCTTCGGAAATGCCACTCCATTTATTTCTGATCTATCCAAATGCGCAGAGACACGGGAAAGAAAGTGTGAGCTGGGATGTAACAATGGATGAGCTCTCTCTGTGTGTATTGGACCCTTTTTCAGCGTCCTCTCCCTACTTGCCATCACTCAGGGGGCCACAGTGGAGAATTGTAACTGTGTCTCTTTCACCAGAGAAGCCTGTTAACAAGGAGCACAATGGACGCATCTGAAGTGTTTTACCCAAGATACAAAGAGCGTTACAAAAGTATTACTCAATCAGTTTAATGAAGAGGAAGGGCTGGTGAACAAGAAAGGACTGCATCCATCAAGAGCACCACCCAAATCATGACGGTTATTCTTTGTACAAATGAAGTCTCCCCTCACCCCCCTTTTTGGAAAAAGCAATCTAATTGGTGTGTGCAGTGTGTGACCCATTTTTTCCACTTTCATGCTTTAATGTTACTGTTTTATGGCAATTGGAGGTGGGGGGGTGGGGAAGAGAATAGAGCATATAGCTAAAGGGACAGAGCAAAGGAAGTAAACTAGGCAACTGATTGGACTTAGCTAGACAGCAGTGCTGCTTTCTGCCAGTCACCTGACCTCATGGTGCATCTTGGATGGTGCTTCATCTGTGAAAAAGCAACTGTTCATTCACCCCTTCACTCATTCATTCATTTAGTCATTCACTTGTTTGCTGTGTTAGCCCACTTATTCAGCAAATCTAATCTCCAAATAGCATTGCTGTCCAGAACCTTAAGTCTTTTCAGAGTAACCACAGCAAAACTGACACATAAGAGAAAAAGACAATATCTACTTGATAAAACTATGGCTGCTTCATTAAAAATGATGTGGCTAACATTGGAAAAGTGTTAAAGTGAATGATTTTTTTTTTTTTAAGAAAAGACTATATGAGAATCTCTGGTCAAAAGAGAAGCAGTATACAGGTTAACTGGAAAAAAGATCATTGATTTCCTTGTAGTCCAAATCTCTATAATTGGACTAGGTTTTTTTTTGGGGGGGGCGGGTTAAAAGGAGGGATAGCAAGGAAATAGTGTTTAACAAGTGATCTGAGGTTTCTAAAAGGCAATGAAATGGGATAATTGATCCATAAAATTGAGCTCCTGTGTGTGGGGGGGGGGGAGGGGGTCGGAGCATATTGGAAGGGAGGGCCATTGAGGACATTTGGGGAGGAAAGTGGGTATACTGGTTATAGGTGTGGTTTTATGATTATGTATATGTGAAACCATTATTAATAGTATAACAGATCACAGTACCTAAATCAATAATTTTTAAGTAAATAAAAGATAAATAAAAGAACTGTAAGACATCCAAATAATGGGATAATAACAAAGATGATGATCTACCTATTTGGGATAAATATGTTAAATTTTTCAAGATTCTGGGTTATATCACTTAATCTGCAACATTGATAGATTCTGTGACTCTTTTAAAGAGTTCATTTTAAATTCTGGTAGTTCAAAAAAATTTTGGAGGAATAATAGAAATGTTCTCTCTCATGATTATTATGGTGATTATATGACTACACATGTCAACGGTCATCAAATTGTTTATAAGAAAAGGGGAAATGAAAGCTGAAGATATAGATCAGTAGTAAGGCATTAGCCTTACGTAAGGCCAATCTGGGTTCTATTTCTGGTACCCTAACTGGTTGCCTGACTCCCACCAGTAGTGATCTTTGAGAGTTGAGCAAAGAGTAAGGCCCAAATACCTCCAGGTGTAGTTCACTGCATTCCCTCCCCAATTATATTATATACCCCCCCAATTATAGAGGAACAATACCACTGTATAAATTACAGTTCAAACTTGATTTAAAAGAAAATTCAATTTAAATTCTTGCTTCTGTATTTTAGTTCTTATTTTAGTATTATTAAGTTTGAATAATATATGCGGGATTTTCTAATCAACTAGAACAAAGACACGAGTCTTTGCCTTCATTCCATGTGTACTTAGCATGCTTAAGAACACCAATATGTATGTGAGGGTCATAGAGGGATGATAAATAGAGGTGAAGAAGAGAGAGACAAGATAAAGTTAAATCCTACCACTTCTCCCAAAAATATACTAACCCTTGGAGATACTATCACTATCATGGAGTTTATGCAATATCCAAAGCGATAGCACAGCGGTAGGGCGTTCGCCTTACAAGCGGCTAACATGGCCGACCCGAGTTCGATTCCTCCGCCCCTCTCGGAGAGCCCGGCAAGCTACCGAGAGTATTCGATATGCGAGACACAGTAACAACAAAGTCTCCAATGGAGACGTTACTGGGCCTGCTCGAGCAAATCGACGATCAACGGGAGGGCCTTTACCTTTTACCTTTTATGCAATATCCCACTGGATGGTTCTAGAAATAAAATATTAGTAGATTTCTGTCACTGGGGAAGTTTTCTGGAGAAAATACACTGGTAAGAATGACATTATATATATGTATATATATGTATATATACATATGTACATGCATATGTAATTAACTCCATTTTGGTTTGGGGTGACAGGATGGGTTAGAGTGAGATTTTGGGGGAGGCTTAGGAAGGTTTTACCATGGACATGATATTGGTAATATTCCTTATAGAATGAACTGAGTTTGACAGACAAAGGAGACACACAAGGCAGGGATTTTGACCAGATCAGGTAGCCCATAAATTTAGACAGTATTTGTCACTGAAATCAATAACAGAGAAATGGGAAATGTATTAATGGTTCTGTGCTTGACTGCCCAGGGTGAAAAAGCATGTTTCATCTTGTTTATTCCTCTATTTTCAGATATTAAGCAGCCTACATGTAAGTTCAGGGTGATTTATTAAGCACATCTTTTGAAGATTTGTTAGTATGAAGGAGCACAGACTTCTGGGAAAATAGGGGGCAAAAAGAACCTGGATTATTCACAAGTTTCTGTTTAAGAATTGTAGCACTGCACTGTCCTCCTGGTGTTCATTGATTTGCTCAAGTGGGCACCAGTAACGTCTCTATTATGAGACTTGTTGTTACTCTCTGAGAGGGGTGGAAGAATCGAACCTGGGTCGGCCACATGCAAGGCAAACACCCTAACTGCTATGCTATCTTTCTGGCCCATTTAAGAATTACACTTTGAAATTGTTTATTTACTACACCTTTTCTCATCTACCATGCTTATTTATTTTGTAGCTTTAGCACAAAGTACCTAGGCCACACTAGACACTCAATGAATAATTTTCAAACAAATTATTTTGAAATAAGTTAGAATAAACATCAGTGACCATGGCACCAGGTTGTTCATAGGAATCATTAAATAACTTTGACTTTTGTTTGTTTAGCCACACCTATTGGTACTCAGGGTTTTGTGCTTAGGGTTACTTCTGGAGGTACTGGGGGATCATATGAGGTTTCAAGTATCAAGAGTCAGTCAGATGGAAAGCAAGAACCTTACCATTATATATTTCTCTGGCTCCAACTTTGTGGTTCTCAAACCATTAAGTAAACTCATCATATTCAATGTGCTCATCTAGTTAGAGCAAATGACCCTGATTTATTACCATTTCTTTTTAAGCCATAGTGATAGTGATATCTGGAGACAAGACATCTTTTTCACACAGAAGATAATTTATTAAGAATCCCTAGGTAAAGGACATGGCTCAAGGAGAGAGCGCATGCCTAGCATATGCCAGTCCCTGAGTCTGATCCCTGGTACTAACTCCCCTCGCCCCTTCCAATTAGCAGGAGTTGCCTGAGAACTGTTATATGTGTCTCTTTTTTGCCATATACTCACTTTTCTCTAATAATACTGTACTGTAGATCACAGTACCTCAATCAATAATTTTTAAGTAAATAAAAGATAGATAAAAGAACTACAACACATGTAAATAATGGGATAATAACAGAGGGAAGATTATCTACCTATTTGGGATAGATATGTTAACCTTTTCAAGATTCTGTGATATATCATTTAATTGGCAACATTGATGAATTTTGTGACTCTTCTAAAGAGTTAATTTCAAATTCTGGTAGTTCAAAAGAATTTTGGAGGAATGATGGAAATTCCTAATTTCTAACCCACTCTACCCTACCCTGTCACCCTAAACCAAAATGGGATTAAATATATGTGTGTATACATGTACATATATATGCATGTACATGTGCATTCAATGTAATTTTCTCTACAAAACTGTTTAAATCACTATACAAGGAAAATATAATACAATAAAACAGTACATAAGACTGACTATCAATATATACTTGAAATGCAGAAAGTACTATGCTGATTTGGAAAATCTGGTTACTAGTACTCTCTGCTCTAATTGTATCATTGTGGAAAAGTCCTAGTAGCTCATTGAGTCTTAGTGTTTTTATCTGTAAAATATTACTAATAAAATGCACTCTATCTACTCTGTAGGAAATTG